TGTTTATATAAAGTGGGGCAATTCCAACTTTGCAAGGACAGTCTGGCGCTTCTGACTCACAGACTGTAAATATGTTTTTATATTTACAGGATTTGCCACTGACGATTCAAATGCGAGTTTTGGGCAGTGTGGAGTAGCGCTTGTTGTTTGTAATTTCTCAGATCACAAATGCAGACATGGTTATATGTTTACGTGGCGTGATGCAACGCAGCGCGTAAAAAGACAGTATAAGTCATTATAATCCGTAATTATGTCCCCACTGGATGCAACGAATGCCTGGTTTGTAATGGGTTTTAATGTTTTTGTCTCGTCGCTCCGGCCTGACAGGGCATCACAGTATGGTAGGGGTGTAACATTTCCGTCACACGCTTGAGGTATTCGGCCAATCATAACGCACTGGATAGCTGGCCAATCACAGCACACCTCGCTTTTTCAGACCGAATCTTAACCTTAAAAAATAGACTGCATGTGCGTGACTGCATTTACACTGCATTTGTGCTGCTTTTCAGATGACAAAGCAGAGCTCTGGAAATGGAGGAGGAAGTGATAAAGGTTCAAGCAAGTCTGGTCTGACTCGGAAAGAGAACCAGGGTGCGCAGTACCGTCACCACCCTCTTCGCGCTCGCCGCAGGCCTCCTAAAGGCATGCATCTGGAACAGGAGGACATTGTTGGTCTCTCAGTGTCCACTGATTCAGGAGCTGTTAATCTCAGACAGCTGGACACACAGTTAGTGTCACTGAAGAGACAGGTAAAGTGCAACGCATCAAATCACAATGGGATTGGTAGTGTTTGTAAATCTGAGAGACTCGCAAGTGAATATACGATGGAGGAGTTTGTGTGCTACGCAAGTGTTCAAAAGTTTGGAATCAGTAAGTTTTTTTTCAGCAAGAATTGATCAAATTGAAATTTTTATTTAAAAAAATAACACTATTGATCAAATAAAAAAAATCAAATAATCCTAGAAAAATGTATTTCTATAAAAATATTAAACGGCACAGCTGTTTTCAAAATTGATGATAAATGTTTCATGAGCACCAAATCAGCATAATAAAGTGATTTTAATCATGTGGATCATGTGACACTAAAAAAAAAATCAGCTTTGCCATTACAGAAATACATTTTAGAGCGTATTAAAATAGAAAACAGTTCAATTGAAATTGTAATAACATTTGACAGTATTAATGTATTTTTGATAAATGTAGCTTTGGCGAGACAAAAAAAATTTACTAATGGAAATATAACTACACAACAATCACCACTTAGAACATTTTTGCGCCTCTGTTTTGCTTTTAGGTCCAAAGTGTCAAGCAAACCAATAGTGTTCTCAAGCACAACTTGGGTGATGGAATCGAAGGCTTAAGACCATCAGAGGTACATTTCTACCCGCATTGCTCTGCTATACAAACTACAAACATTTATCATTTACACTACATTAAAAAACTGGCATACATGTAGAAGTTAAAAAAGCAAGACATTATTAAATCCATTTAATGCATTTTGACAGTTTGAATGTACAGGCTTAGTTTCTGAGATACTGATAAGGCCTTATTGCATAATATTTTTAAAGTTCAAGTTTTTTTTTTCTCTAAAAGCTTGCCAAACCTGTAAGTAGATTCTGGGCAAAATGCCAATGTTATGCTACATGATAATGTTTCTCCCTGTGCTGCATTTCCGTCAGCCCACCCAAAAAATCAACTCTCGCTGGACAACGGAGGAGCAACTCCTGGCTGTTCAAGGTGAGCTGGATTATTATCTCTTATTTCCTATGATCCCTGAGTATACATGTAGCATTTAAAACTAATGGTTTTAATTTTGAGTGTTTTCAGTGTTTAGACAAAATGGCATAGAACTTTAATATCAGCTATTCATTGGTTATCAGGCAGAGCTGTAACATCATGCATCCCTGGTTAAAGCTTGTATAAAAAAAGAATGCTTCTGTAAGGGCAGGTTTGAGAGCAGAGAAGACCTTCGCAAAACTAAAGAAACCAAAAAGATCACTTCTTTACTTGCACAAGTTGATATCATAAAATAGAAGCTAAATTATCCAGCTAACCAATGAGTTAACATAATGTATGGTACTAATATCTTATAATATCTTAGTAACTAATATCTGTCCTAAAAATATGGTTTCAAGCTAAATTAGCGAGTACCTAGTCTTTTATGACAGTGGGAGATTGATTAAATTTAGCATGAAATCAAAATGGAGAATTCTTATTGTTCATGGAATATTACAGTATTTATGATCAATTATTTATCTTTGCACAATTTCCAGGTTCATGCTGATTTGACCAAATGTCATTATGCATGTGTATTCCGAGCAATACAAAGGGAATTCCTATCATGTACCTTGTTTCAAAGCAAGATACTACATACTGAATTAATAAGAGTATTATTCTGGTTGATTATTTTTGTTTAATTTTAAGCATTGCTGAGCAGTTTTTCATCCACATTCTCTCCAGCCGTCAGACGATACGGTAAAGACTTTGCATCCATAGCGGACGTGATTGGCAACAAGACGGTGGCGCAGGTCAGCTCATTCTTCATCAGCTACCGGAGACGCTTCAATCTTGAGGAGGTGCTCCGTGAATGGCAGGCAGAACAGGAAGTGGTGCAAGGGGGCAGCGGGAGGACCGTGAACATGGAGCTGAACGGGTCGTCAGATGATGAGGTGAGAGAGAATGAGGAAAAAGACTATTTGAATTTGTCAAGGCTTTTGAATAGGACGTGTTCCAGCAGGCAGGGCTTATTTATCTTAGAGATAAAGAACGGTTAACAACAATAGAGGAATTAATTTTCTCTTTTCCAGGTGAAGATGGATGGCGTCTCTCCGCCTCATTCTGACAGTCCACTGCCCTCTTCTGATGTTAGTGTGGTTGGGAACCCCAACTCTGCCCAGTCCTCCCCACCCCTCACTCAACCTCCACCCTTACTGCGCCCTGCACCCCCCTCAGCACCCCCTAGCCTGCTGCGCCAGCCTCCCCCGCTACAGACACGACCTCTACAAAACAGGACGCCCCACAATCACCCTCCCCCTCCTCTCATCAGACCCGCAGTGGTGTCCTCGCTCCACCAGGGGGCACTGAGGAACTCTCTAAGTTCCTCCTCTGCCTCTGCTGGACAGCTGCCACCCTCACTAGTGGGGCTGAAGGTGGAATCCCCCCAGTCACACTGATCGCCATGTAGTATTTGCCCTTTTATAATGGTTTAAGACACCCAAATAGTCATTTAACAGAGAATTTGTTTTTACATCGCTGTAAAAGGGCAATGTGTAGTAATGCCTCTCAAATATAGGAAAAAACCCCAAGGTGAACTGGAAGCAAAGCTGGACATGCACCAAAACACACATTTAGCAAGTCAGGAAGGATTAAACTATACAGTGTGATTCGCTTCTCCACTACAGGACCAAGGAGAACCCTCCATAATATGCATGCATATAAACCACAGTCTTGCCAAAAAACAAACCCATCTGTCCTCAGGTTCTACAGCTTTACCTCGTGAACAGTCTCAAGCACAACAGCGTCCACTGTAATTACAGCTATTGAATCACCTTCTGTAATAGATGCTCAGCGGAAGTTTGAAGTTTAACCAAAATTGTGGGGTAAAAACCTTATACACTGGAATTAAAAACTGCCACGAAACGGACTTATGTGAGTTCCTTCCACCATCTCTATGGCAACGGCTGCATATCATCTAGTGTGCATGACTACAGGCACTAGTGAGTGTTCTGAAGTGCACCTGGTGTCAGGAAACTTTGTGTATACTCACTTTCCCAGTGAAGAGCCTTGTTGATAGTCATACTGGGTGAAGCGGCTTTGTTGTTTGTATAATTAGGTCTTTAAGATATTGTTAGGTAGTGAATTTATGTAGTACTAGTTAATATTGACTAAGCACTAAGTGATGCAAAATACTTGATTTTTTTTGTTGCAACTCTGTCCCCTTCTTTTTACTGACTCTTTACTGTTTTTTTAATTTGTTAATTCTTGGCAAATTACATGGAAACAGATGGGGTGACCCGCTGACCCCTGATACCAGGGTAGACAAAATTCGTTTCCGAAACACATCTTCACATTCATGACCCCAAATGAGGAAAAAGTCACACTTTAACAATACGCAAACACTTTTTAAAGCAGTTTAAATGTAGGTCAAATTGACCCCATCACAAAAGTAAGGGTTAAGTAAATAAAAAGTAATAAATCAAATTTAAATTTCTTAAGGGTTTAGTACTGCGCCTATATTTTTTAAAACATTGTTTTCTTCATAATAATCAACCTTAATATGTTTCTCATACAGTATAAATGGTTAAATCTTGGTTAGGACCAATTGTTACTATATGCCAATTACAAACAAGTATATCAAGAGCTTAGATTAGCAATCAAGCATATCTTCAGATATGCCACAAATAGGTATATTAAATGTCAGAACATACTGCATTAGTTTTAATACAGTCAGCTTGAATTTAATTGTTTTATTACTATCATTGACCCCCTTCTTTTTACTGACTCTTTACTGTTTTTTTAATTTGTTAATTCTTGGCAAATTACATGGAAACAGATGGGGTGACCCGCTGACGCCTGATACCAGGGTAGACAAAATTCGTTTCCGAAACACATCTTCACATTCATGACCCCAAATGAGGAAAAAGTCACACTTTAACAATACGCAAACACTTTTTAAAGCAGTTTAAATGTAGGTCAAATTGACCCCATCACAAAAGTAAGGGTCAAGTAAATAAAAAGTGATAGATCAAATTAAAATTTCTTAAGGGTTTAGTACTGCGCCTATATTTTTTTAAACATTGTTTTCTTCATAATAATCAACCTTAATATGTTTCTCATACAGTATAAATGGTTAAATCTTGGTTAGGACCAATTGTTACTATATGCCAATTACAAACAAATATATCAAGAGCTTAGATTAGCAATCAAGCATATCTTCAGATATGCCACAAATAGGTATATTAAATGTCAGAACATACTGCATTAGTTTTAATACAGTCAGCTTGAATTTAATTGTTTTATTACTATCATTGATCATAATCATCTTTGCACAAAAATAAAAAAAAAACATTTGGTGTATTTCTATGCAAACCCCCCTAACCCAACAGCAAAGAGTCTGACACAAATAATAAAATTACAGCAACGAAAAACTTGTGTGAATAAAAACAATCAACCCTGAAGAAAAATAAACCATACTTAAGATAATTGGATCCCAGCACCTTGAACAAATGATCATTTGTGAGAACAGCAAAGTACATGACAAAAAAAAAAGATAATCGTTATTTTCTATGAAGGTATAAAACACACATGTGCACAGTTGTCCCCCAAAGCTGGTGACAGACTTTTTAAGGAGATCTGATCCCAACCCCCTTCCTCTTTACACCACAACAGAGGTGACAGTGCGTCCGATGTCAACTAGAGGATGCATGCAAGCATGTACAGCTCAGCAGAAATGGATGGAAACACACCGTTTGCTCTCTCTTTTACGCAGACATATCTGCAGGTTGGTTCCCATCTGCTCGAATTACTGATCTGCTTGTGTGAGAATGACATCCGAACTGATTTCAATAGTGAAAATGATAATGCCAACAAAATATTGGAATTAACAGAATGCCAGTATTTGACTCTTCATGGCAGGTACTTGTTGTCTCAAGGCTACGTATTAATAGTCTCTGCATTGAATATGAAACGAAGCGAGCATTTTGGTTATTCAGATATGACACTCCATCATCTCTCACACACACATACACATTCAATCACGACACGTTTTCATAAAGAGTGTACTACCAAATGCATAACGTCAAAAAGCCACCCGCAGATGAGACCGAGGTGGAAAGTTCTTGGCTAGAACCATGAAAAGGTGTTGGATGCAGAGAAGAGCTCGACATCAGTTCTTTAGTCACGAAAATGGCATGGGAATGATTAGTTGCAAAGATTGAGTCCTTTAATGTCTTTTCCAGTGACTTTTTTTGTTTTAAGTGTGAGGAGAGTACTTGCTGCCCCATAATCCTTTGCGACAAAGCGGGGCGAGTGTGTGAAAGGTTCAGTGGGAGTCATGTGGTGCTTTTTCAGACATTCTTTATACAAAGGCATAGCGCGATCAATAACACGAGACCACAAAAAAAAAAAAAAAGAATTTGTTTTTCCTAGGAATAATATTAAAACATAATCATTGGTAAATACAACAATGAAACATTTAATTTCTATAAGAAAATAAAAAAGGCAACAGAAATTCACCCATTCCAGTGCAGCAAATCTAAACCCAGCCGATTAAGTATTAAAATCACCTTAACCAGAATTTACAATCCTCTCAGTATTGATCAAATTCTGGCTCTTACTGAACAACGGTGAAGCGTAACCCTGTCGATAGAAGAAGAGGAAGAAATAAACACAGAGAGAGAGAGAGAGAGAGAGAGAGAGAGAGAGAGTGTCTCTCTTAAGGGGGCACAAACTTCACTTCTGTCCTAAACTGCCCACCTCTACCCTGTGAATATTTAGGGCCACCCATCTTACAAGTTTGGCGTTTTAAGCTCTATCCCTTTCAATAGGCAATAGGTGTGTTTGTGTGCGAGTGTACAAAGAGAACGAAATGAGTTCAAAATTCATTTGTCACCTTTCTGAATTGAACATGTTCAGGACAATGAACCAAGAACCTGCAGAGATTACTCTTCCAAAACTCCTCAATGAAGGGCCAGTGTGCTACTTTTCCCCTCCGTTTGTATGAATCTGATCTTATACCTCTCTGTGTACCTAGCCATACCAGCAGGTTGTGTTTGAGCAATACGATCCTCACTCATCCCTGTTCAGAGACTCTTTAATATGCTACTTTTCTCATCTCTTTCTCCTCTCACAGTTTCAGCTCGTTGGCGATTTTGGAGGCGATGTTTTTGAAGGAAATAGACGTCCCGGATATCCTCTTGAAGCGCACGCCGTTAAGCGAGAGGCGGGGCAGCTTGCACACCTCCATCTCCCATTGGACGAAGTCGTCGCGGGCGGGGTTACCAGCCATGCACAGCAGCATGTAGCACTCGCGCAGCTCGTACTCGCAGCTGTTGGCGTCGAGAACCTTCCGAATCTCCTTCATCATCTCACCGGGCTCCATGGAAGACGTGGTCTTCATGCTCCAGGTGAAGCGGAGTGAGCGAGGCTTCGCCTGGTCTCTAAGTGAGGACACGGGAGCGGCCGGAGTAGTCCCGCCCCCGGGGGAGGAGTCTTTGTTGTCGTCTTCCGGCCCTACGCTGGTCTTCTCCGACTTCTCTGCGCTGCTGAGCATAGATCTGTAGAGACAGGGATGGAGAGAGAAGGATGGAGGTGGGGGAGATTGAGAGAATGTCGGTAGGGGGTGAACGAGGACAGAAAGGAAGGAACGAGAGAACAAAGAGGATGTGGGAAGGTGCGTGGGAGAAAAGTGAGAAATCATTGAGAGACCAAAAAGAGGGTTGAGGGAAATTGAGGGTGTTGAAGAAAGAGAGAGAAAGGATGAGGCAGTGGACATGGTTGGAGAGAGACATATGGCAATAAACAACTGGAAAGCATGCATGCATCCGTTTGTGTGCAAATTGATGTGGCGCAAACACATGGAACAGTGAAAGGCTTCTGCTTCAAGCGAACACCTTTCATTTATTAGGCATTCTTGTATCTGCCGTGCTAAGGATGTGAAGTCGCACCTCACATGCTTAAAGTAGAACGTTTTATTGACTCTCGAGTGAATATGACAGTTGAGGGAGGCCTGAGCCTGTTCAGCTTCACGTTGAGCCTTTAAGAAGCTCTAAATCTCCCTCTCATAAGAAGACTAAATATGACTTGGTTTGACTTAATGTTGCTCAGTGACAAAAGCAGAATTGGGTTCAGTTGGGTAAGTATCCTAGTCAAAATAAAGAATGCTTCAAGCTGCCTTCAAGTTCTGACAAATGTGGAAAATGATGTGACTTTAGTTGGTAATAATGGCATTTTCATATTTTAGGAAGATTTTTACTACAACAAAATGAAAAAATAAAATGCACATTAGGTGCGCAACTGATACTTTATCTACACTATCTTTCAAAATACTTTAATTCAGCAAGAATGCATGAAATTGATCAAAAGTGACAGTAAAGTCTTTGACATTGTCACAAAAATTATTTAAATTTTTTATTTACTTTTTGCTTTCTATTCATCATTCCTTTTTATTTCAATTCGAAACAAGTATTAAGCAGCACAACTGTTTTACATTGATAATAAAAAATCATTTCACAATATTACTGTTATTACTGTATTTTCGATCAAATAAATGCAGCATTGGTGAACAAAAAAATGAAAACAAAATGTAATGACTCCAAACCTTTGAAAAGTAGTGTACATTAAAATGTACGCGCTTTTACGTAAGAAGTATTTTCTGGCAAACGTCATCACTATTCATCATCAGCAGTACCCAAAATGCCTACAAACTAAATTGTACTATAAAAATTCACAATTAAAACTTAATTATGATTATTTCTTTAATTGTATCAGGATTGAAATTATATTTTTATGGTGGTGCCTATGCATGTTAAACTCATAACTATATGACCGTATGACTTGAAGGCAACATTGCATTCGTAATACAATACTAGTACTTCTTTTGGTTCCTGTTCATGGTGATGCTCAAAATATCTGTGACAAAGTGCAGGTCCGAATTGAGAAGTAGTGCAGATGTGTTCACAGAATTAAAGATTTGATTATTATAAGCAGTCCCCAAGCAGAAAACTTTCAACTGTGCATGCGTTTGCCATGTAGAAACAGAGAGACAGGCAGTAATCTGAAATGTATTCATTGTAAACAAACTTAAGACACAAATTATGAATCAATTAAAAATCAAAACACATCCCAGGTACTCCCACACACACACACACACAATCATCCATGCTGCAATTAATCCTCCAATTAGATCCCACTGGGTAACTACTAATATTTGTTAAAAACCAATTATCAACCATTTAAAAGCCCCTTTGCTGCCCGATTACACCTCCTAAAGATCTACCGATTAGGTCTGATGAAGAAATCCTTGTTTTGTTCTCACCTGATCCCCTCCTCTTGACCCTCTCCCTCATAGGGGCTCCTCGAAAAAAATTCAAGAGTTTAGTCTTAGTCTGAGTTCTAGTTGAACTCATTCAGTACAGTGATCAGGAAGGGGAAGGACTGTCTAGCACCACATGAGCTTATGAAATCATTTACCCCTCCAGAACCACCACACTCCACTGATTCACTTGTTCATTCCTATTTTAAAACTAATTTCAATGCTATTTATGCAGTGTATCGTCTGGAGCCTCCTGCCCACAAAAGAATCACAGCAGTGATGTTATACATTCAGTACAACAGCGTAGTACCCTATGTGATATTGCTTTGATATATTATTATTTTTTACAAAAAAATGCACACTCACACAGTTACTGAGCTGATCTACTGTATGCAACTGGAAACTGTGCATGTGTAATGCCAATGAACAGATGAATCAGACAGACTGCTTCAGTAACATGAAGTGGGGTGGAATGATGCAGGTCTGTCCAAGACGCTCTTAAGGATTCTACAGAGCCCCATCACCATGGTAACTACTCGCATCCAACAGTCACCTGCCCCTATAGTCTGTCTGGCCGAGCACACAAGCATCCCGAACACGCCACCAGACACACAAACAGACAAACAGCCCCTTAGCAAACTGACAATACCGTCAGAGCCCTTATGCTAAGAGTCACATTAAAAAAAACGCCACACAGAAGACAGAAACACACCAACTCAGTCACGTGGACAGACAGTGAGACAATGAAAGAAACAGCTCAGGACTTTGTTAGTGCGTCATAACAAATGGTTAAAAAAACGAGCAAAGCAGCATTTGAGCTGTTTAAGCACTGAAAGAAACATGAGCCATTACTTTTGACGAATCCTGCAAAGAACAGTTGGTCACCAAAAGACATGAATCACAAAATACAGGCTTCAGGTTTGACCACCAGAGGGCGCAAAGACATACAGTTCCTTTAATAAACTGCTCGCTTACGCCCTCTGCTGGTCTCTAAAACGATATAAGCACCTCGCATCACTTCAGTTCCTAAAACATGAACACAGGTTATCAACATAATCGTGTCAGTGGAAGAAAATGTCTTTGTTAATTCAAACTCCATGTTTTTGTGCCAGTGGCCCAAGTGGTTAGTGACTTCAGACAGATGGTGACGTCCATTCGCCAGGTGCCTGTGAGTGAGTCATCAGTCAAAACAGATTCTGACAATGCCGCATAAATAGAGAGAGAGAGCAGTGCGATGGGGAAAGTTTGGTTTTAGGTGTTTGAGCAGGACAAAGCCTGACAGCTGGCCGGTCTCAGCTTCTGTAGCTGTTGTCATTGTTAATGAGCAAGTGAAAGAAAGAGAGAGGAAACGCTTCTGAAGACATTCTGCACAAGATAACCATTCTTCATCCATCAGTCTTTCTAATCCTTTAACCTTTTTCCTTTTACATTTCCAGCTCAAAAAATACCTGATATTAACATTTATCTTTACAATGGCAGCCTGCCTTTAGCATAACAACATACTTTCTAGAAGTGACATTTAGATGATCATAATTTTTTGCTCAGTTATTCAAGCGATGACTTCCTCTATGAGCCAAAATGAGGAAGACATGGTGTAAACGACCTGTGCCAAAACAATTGCGACATACACTAGCATTCAAAAGTCTCTTA